CACATATTGCAGTTGATTGACGGAAGAATAGTGGTGACAAATCGTTTGGACGACACCATCGTGCTTGACCAAGTTGTGCTGGAGCCTGGACAGACCGCGGTTGCTTTGGTTGCGGATATCAAGAAGAATACATACTGGCTTTTCACAAATCAGGAGATCTTCGAGGTTGTCATTACGGACGAAAGCAGAGATGTGTGGAAGATCATGTTGAAAGCACAGCAATTCGAAGTAGCATCGCGATATGCGAAAACTGCAGCAGAGAAAGATGCCGTGGCAACAGCTTCCGGGGATTACTTGGTTGGCAAAGGACAGTATGCGGAAGCTGCCGCTGTCTACGGTCGAAGCACGAAGCCCTTCGAGCAGGTTGCCCTTGCCTTCATCGACAAGGGCGAGCAAGATGCATTGCGCAAGTATCTGCTCACCAAACTGTCAATCTTGAAGAAGTCGTCAGCTATGCAACGGATTATGGTAGCCACGTGGCTGACAGAGCTTTACATGGCGAAACTGAACACGTTGGACGACACCATCACCACGAAGGCGGAGCTATCCGAAAGCATGAACACTGCTGAGACGCAAGATCAGCTGTCTGTAATAAGGAAGGAGTACCAAGAGTTTGTCTCAAAGTACAAGTCCGACTTGGACCGTAAGACTGTTTACGAGATCATCAGCAGTCATGGACGAGAAGAAGAGCTGCTGTACTTCGCGACAGTAGTCAACGACTACAACTACGTACTCGCCTACTGGGTACAAAGGGAGCGCTGGCGCGAAACTCTCGACGTCCTGAAGAAGCAGACTGATCCTGAAGTCTTCTACAAGTACAGCAGCGTCCTAATGGCACAAGTGCCAGTCGACCTTGTGGAAATTATGATGCGACAGACCAATTTTGACGCCCAGAAGCTCATTCCCGCTTTCCTCAACTACAACAACATCACCAAGGTCCCTATATCCCAGAACCAAGCAGTGCGCTACCTCCTCTTCGAGATTAACCAGCACCAATCTACTGATGCAGCAATCCACAACACTCTAATCTCCATTTACGCTTCACATTCCTCGACCGATGAATCGGCGCTTCTCGCCTATCTAGAAGGCCAATCCATGGCCCACGAGCAAAACTACGACGCCGATTTCGCACTACGATTATGCATCCAGCACAACCGCGTCCAATCCTGCGTCCACATCTACAGCTCCATGAGCCAATACGCGCAAGCCGTCGACCTCGCGCTCAAATACGATGAGATCGACCTCGCCAGCAACGTCGCCGACCGCTCCAACACCGAGCCCGCACTGCGAAAGAAACTCTGGCTCGCGATAGCCAGGAAAGTAATCTCTCAGTCTTCGGGCATCAAAACGGCAATCGAGTTCCTCCGCCGCGTCGACCTGCTGAGGATAGAAGATCTGATTCCTTTCTTCCCCGACTTTGTCGTCATTGACGACTTCAAAGACGAGATCTGCGCCGCGCTTGAGGACTACTCGCGCAAGATCGACGCGCTGAAGCAGGAAATGGACGACTCGGAAGAAACCGCTGCGCATATTAAGACGGATATCAAGGCGCTGGAGCAGCGGTACGCAATTGTAGAGCCTGGGGAGCGGTGCTACATATGCGGGCTGCCGCTGCTGGCGAGGCAGTTCTTTGTGTTTCCGTGCCAGCACGCGTTTCACAGCGATTGTCTAGCGAAGAAGGTGGTGGAGCTGGCGGGTATGGCGAAGGGGAAGCGCATTGGGGAGTTGCAGATGGAGGTTAGCAGGGGGACGAGTACGGGGGCGAAGAGAGAGAAGGCGATTAGGGAGTTGGATGCGCTGGTGGGGTCGTCCTGGTAAGTCTGAAGTCTGCTGGGTGAGGGTAGTTGCTAATGTGGGACAGTGTGCTGTGTAGTGAGCTTGCGGTGAAGCTTATTGATGAGCCATTTATTTCGGCGATGGATGACAAGGAGGAGTGGGCTTTGTAGGGCAATGTATGTAGGGCGAGATACCAGTTGTTCACAATCTAGCTGTTGTGAGGTCGTGATGTGGTTTGTACTGTGCAGTGGTACGCTGTGCGTGAAAGCACGATTACTAACTACGTTTGCGCTCGATCGACCAACACGATAAGACATGTACCGCTCGCTTTACGCTGCACATGTATCATGCAACTCCCGGGCTGTCTATAAACGGCTGTTGCGTTGGAGGTGCGGCGATGTCGCAGGCATGTAGGTGCCCAGGTGTGCTGATTTTCACGTTGTCGGCTAAATGGCGCTAGCACCAATGATGAATGTACCAACAAACAGGCAGGTTCCTCGTACATGCTAAGGGAAAATTATACCTACAGTACTACCCTCCCTTAGATGAGGTACGCTATATCGGCTTCCTTTTTGGTCCGCTATATTTCGATTTCGCATCCCGTCGCAATGGCTGTCCGGACGCCTTTCTTTCATGTTGACTAGGTATTGACCTCGGGAGCTCCGAAAACATATTGTGCAACCCTACAGGAAACCCATCAGTAGAGAGCTTTGCGTTCAATCAAGTCAAATGCCGGCATTCGACTTGATTTAACCCAACAGGCAGGCTCGTTAATTGTTCGACTCTACCTGCAGATGACGGTACATAAGGTGTCTTTTATCATCGTTATCGACCTCTGCATCGGCGTCCTCCTCTGAAAACATGCTGCCCACCGCCATTTCGGTTTCATCCCACGTGTGGTGGGCCCGCTGGTTCGTCTTTCACACGCCTGACCACGCGTCTTTGAGGGGGTTATCCCGCGTCAGTATCCAACCTTTTCCCGAGTTCGTAATCGTGCATGTTCGCCAAATGCTTCCGCGGCGAGGCGCAGCAGTGTTGATCGTCTCCCAGGCTGGCACGCTCCGCTTACCGACCTTCCACATACGCGAAGGAACAAACAGCAACGCGCTAGGATGCCAAGCAGGAATTATTGGTCGTGAATCGAGTCATGGATGCTTACAGTCAACAAGTTTTGTTATTTCCTGAACGTCGCGCGCTTTTCATCGCTTCGACACCCTTTTATGACCCGCATTCTGGTATGATGGAGCGCGATGGACGATGTTTACGGACGTGAACGCTCGCTCGCGTACGATGTGCTACCGCCCTACTCGCCGGTACGAAGATATGGAAGTAATGACTTTTTGAACGAGGAGAGAGATGTGAAGGATGACGGGATCGTGGTGCGCATTGCGAGGGCCTGGACGCGTACCGCTGCGTTCAACGAAACGCCGAAGAAGATTGTGCGCACGACATCGAATCTTTGGCAGAAACGAACCTGGCCCGCTATCAGAGATACCACGACGACACATGTGGCGCCTGTTATCTCGTCATCGACGCGAAGAACTTGGGACTTTATCGTGAACCACACGTGGCAGGCCATCAGGGATTATCCACTGAAGGCATCACAATTCTGGGGGCTCCTGCTCCTTCTTCTAGGCATTGTCCCTTTTGTTGCCTATGGCCTGATGATGCGAGATGGGACGAGACACGCTTTTTACTACGGTGCCTTCGCAGCAAAGACCCTCGGATGTGGCGACGCACTAGGAGTACCGCAAAACGCTACTGTCAAAGGGATCGAGTCCCTGTTCATCCTCGACTTGACATTCGGCAGATTCAGCTTTTCACGCGTGAAGACCATTGATGTCGCATTCGACATCATCATCGGGCGAGGTGTGCAGGGAATTCTATGGGCCATCTGCTACCGCATCTTCACCGACGCGCTCCTTCGACTGATTGAACGCCATCCCGTGTCGTTCGAAACGTTCAAGAGCATTAGCCTGGAAGGCGCCGGGCTCGGCTCGTCTTGGGTCTTAACAAAGCAGCTGTTTCGTAATCGGAGTAAACGCACGTGGTTCCTGTTCGTATACCTCCTCTTGTCGTCGTTCTATGTACTGAGTATCCCTCCGCTACTGGGCGCGATGACGGGTTACGACGGAACGTCAATCGCATGGGTCAGCATCGGCGGCGACAACATCATCCCATCCTCCCAGCTCGATTTGAGCTACGTCGTCTACGGCCAGAAGGGGAAGCCCTTCGATGAGCCGTTGTGCGACGACACCATCACGGAGCTGCGCGACTGGTACTACCACCAAATGGACGTGCAAAAGTACTGCGACTGCCAGCTTCCCAACAAAACGGTCCTGCCGTACAACGACTGGCAGTACTACTACAGCTCGCTCACGTACGGGTACCGGGCGGACGAAACAAACTACAAGCTGGAAGACTGCAAGTTAAACTTCCCAAACAACAGCAAGCTCTACAACTCGACGTGGGGCCAGGACTCAAACTATAACCCCGCTATGCAATGGAAGACGTACAATTGCAATGACACGTTTCCGGTGACGCTGCCGAACAACAAAACATACTCAATGTACGACCTTGATTTCTCGTCGAACCAGTATTGCTTTCAGAACAAGTCGCTAAACTACATGGAGTTGATAGATAGCACCCGCTGCCTTCCCGATACCGCAAATCCAAGTTATCAATGGGGCTTCTCGTCTGCGCTGATGGGCGTGCTCATCATTATTAACTTGGTGTGGTGTCTGACGATGTGGTTGGTGTGGCAGGACGCGCTGCGGGCGAAGATGGTGAGGGATGGGTATCGGATGAGTCCGCTGAGAGCCGCTTTCGTGCTCACGGAGGCCGCGCGACGCACAACAGGCATCGGCGGCGAAGGCCTCGTGCTGAAAGACAGGAGAACGCTGAAGAGAAAACTGGAAAGGCGCAAGGGGCACCCGGAAGCTTCCGTGCATAGGGAGATATTCGAAGAAATGCCCGCAGAAGTGGAAGTGGATTTTGCAACAAAGAACGCAACGAGAATTAAGAGGAGGCCAGTTAGTGGTAGAGTAATAGAAGATTTTGGCGACGTGTAGTTAAATGGCATTCAAAAATTATATAAATTCAGTGCAGCTACGGAGTGAAACAAGCGCGTGAAGCATGCCCGCCAAACATCTGGCAAGCAAAAAAACGACAGGCATGGAGCGAATGTTATTGAGGGTTTATGAGAATGCGAAAGTGCAAAAAGATGGACTTGCTGGGAATCGAACCCAGGACCTTTCCCACGATACTCCCGTGATTTATAACAGGAGAACATGCTAAGGGAAAATTATACCACTAAACCACAAGCCCTATCGTCACTTGATATTATGCATTCGCCCTTTACTATATATATACACATATTGTAAACGTAGCCAAAGCCAAACGTGCGCACTCTCGATACTTAGTTTCTGTTGAGAGAAATTTTCGCTAGCGTCACCAGTGTTAGCCCATAAGTGCTTAGACTAATTTGGTTTAAGCTCACTTATTGGCTGAGGGAATCTCGCTAAAAACCTCTTCCACATACCCTAAGGTAGACCGACTCTCGCGTAAAGGTGGAACTGGGACATAACGGGCTAGAATTTAGACTTAGGAAAGATAACGTTAATACAAAGACTAAACTTTAACTGTTAACGTAGTTACGTATAACCAGCCTTTAGCTTTACGTGAGCGACCGAACTTTTCACGTACACAGGTCATATGAGAAGTGATATCTGCCATATCGAATCAAACTGCACATACGACGCGCTCTTCAGTGTCGCTCTTCACCATTCGCTTCCTACAACCTAGGTCTTTTGTCTACAGCCAGAGCAGGTGCTTTCAAGCTCTGCGCGCGCATTTCCACGGTTTCAACTGTCCCTAATAACCCCTTTATTCAATGCGCTGTGTATTCTTGTGCGAAACAACCCGCCGAAGTGTGGTCTGCAACTGGAGCACTGTGGTATCTTCGGGGACAGCTGCGATATACGCGTGCCACCGTACCTGGGTACACACACTATGCGAAATCCACAACTCAACAATTTTTGATTGCTCTATCTCGTCGCTACGGTAATGCAACACTCATAATCCACTGATATCTCCGAGGAACTGTTTCCATCGCTCTATTTGCCCTTCCATGCCTCCTCCAGCAAATCCTTCACCTTCCTCGGCTTGATTTCTGGGAACTGATCGTTCAAGGTCTTCTCAGGCTTGAAATCAAAATGGCCCTCTTCGAAAATAATGCCGAAGACCGGGCACATAGCCTGCAGCATTTGTTTCGGAAAGTAAGGGTTCTCAGGTGCGTTGGCCGGGAGCTCGGTGACCTGGAACGACTTCAATTTGTCCAGCGAATCGTAGGTGGTGTCGAATTTCGCACCCCTGGCTTCCTCTGCGATGGCAAGGAACTCATTCCACGTCATCTTGTCACCGATGATGTATGATTCCTTCTCCCAGGATGACTGGGAAAGAAGGGCAGCGATAAAGTTGCCGATGTCGAAGCTGTACGTGAATACAACGGGAACGTTACCGGACCCGGGGATAGCGGCCGCTTTGTGCTTCATATCGACGGCGAGCGTCATGCCTGTGATGTATGACTTGACGTGGGGCTCAACGTAGTAGTCCGTGAACATGCCGTTGATGACGGCAGTGTACTCGAGTGACGTCTTCTCAAGGGCATTCAGGTATGCAAGCTTTTGCTCGGCAAGGCCAAAGATTTTCACGGCTCTAAGGAAAGCATTGAGTCAGACGTCGTCTTCCCATGGTAGAAGTCAGATTGACTTACTCCGGTGTATGCTTGATTCTCCATAGGCTGGGGATGTAGCGCTTCGTTGCTGACGACTTATCGGCAGCCTTGATAAGAGCCATTTCAGGATCCGCGCCAGGAGCTGAGCTCAGATCGAGACAACTGTATCAATCTTGTTCGCTTGGAGAATGTTGACGATGGAGTCTACATTGTGATGGGTGAAGCTTCCGGTGAGACTGCCAGCCTGGAGATGGCTCGTTTTCCTTCATTGGTTATGTTTCATTGGCATATGCAGCTTCTCGGAGAAGCGGTGACACCTGATTGCTGGCGTATGCAGCTTCCCGGAGGAGCGGTGACCCCTGACTGCTGGTATATACGCCCTTAGCGCTCACCCTTCGTAGATCATGCATATCATCACTTTTCAGCCTCATCTTAGGTTCACATACATTGCTGTAGTCGATAGCGATTATCTTCGCTCCCAGTTCCTTCGATTTCGCATCGCTGGCCTACATTATGAGTGTGAGTCCGAGCTTCTCAATGCAGAAGGGTCAGGAGCTTACCTCACGACCGAGCACAAACACTTGGTACTTTCTGCTGGCCACAATTTGGTCGAGAATTGCACGACCAAGCATGCCGGTTCCTCCAGCTACAGCAACGATCGAAGACATTCTGGTTTGGTAGTGATGAATTTGATGAAAGGATTCAAGTAGGTTGAAGATATCTTCCTATGAATTGTTCTAACGGTTAATCGCAATGGTTTATATACACATGTGCTACACACCTTTTGTCTCTACTTTTTATACTTGGTTGCTTACTACCTACCCTTTTACATATTGTCACTCCTGATACACATGTGTACGTGCGAAAGTACCTGTACCATAAATCTTTTCGTCAACTGGTCCATCGCAGCCCTGTATTTTCTGAGTATTGCATTACTTATCACAAGTTATCTTTATTAAAAACGCAGCCTTGTCCCAATCCTTGCGGATCCCGGAGCGAACGGATAGGGATCGGGCTTACCCCGGCCACCAACCATTGGACGCGTGACACCAAGCCTCAGATCTACGAAGATTTCGAAGCGGGCGAAAAGGGCCGCACTGAAACAGTATACACAAGGGTGTGGACACGCGCGGATCCACAAATGCTGAACCTGGGTTTGTCACAAGGGTATTGTGCAAATATTCTTTGCGGATAGCAAAATCACGTGCCTGCTCTTGACCCGCGGACACTATGAGCGTAGAGTATCACTATATCAAGAGTACGAAGAGTGCAAAAAGCTCCGCTTTTCGGCGTTGATGAAAACAAAAGAGAAACTCCACTTCTAAGGGCGGAATTATCCTGGAACAGTGCAGAGAATCTCCTCCGGCTTATACTTCTAATTACTATACTAAACATAATTTATATACTTTAAGTGTAATAATAATAGTTAATAAAGCAGTTGCTTTTTAGCGTAGTTTAAATAGGTAACTATAGTAAATATATAATTTTAATTAAGATAATTAGCTTATAAATAATAGTATTAGGCGGATTAAGAAAGCGGCTTTATAGGTAGTTAACTTATAAAGATATTAAGTTTAGAGAGGGGAGTTAATATTAAGCTTTATTAAAATCTAATATAACGCAGGGCGGGGTATAGGTACTTATTTATATAACTAGCTAAAATTCTTAACTTAGCTATAAATTACGTAATTAGTTACGCGTCTTAGAAATATCGGACGTCTTAGAAGTATCTTAGTATATAAGACTTTAGGACTCCTGGGACTCTTAGGATTATTAGGATTCTTAGGACGAGTTATATATATAGGAACGCGATGGTAACCTTCTACTATTATATTTAACCTATTTACTAATCTATTATTTAGATTCGACTTAGACTCTTTTATTAATTTAATTATACTATATATACTTTAATACTAACGCCCTATTAATACGCGTAAGTTATTAATACCCCTTACCTATATCACTAATACTCTTGTCCGAGAACCAACCTAAACCCTTTAGGACCAGCTACCCCAAAGGGCTTAACAGATTAGTCTAACAGATGCGTGCGGAGCAGAAAGTAAAGAGTTATTATATTTAATATTAGTCTAACAGCGTCGCTTACGGCGGCGCTTACTCTTAAGTATAGTAATAAGGGAAAGTAAGCCTAGTATGGTGTAGGTGATTAACGCGCTATGCGCTAACAATCTCTATCTAGGCACTATTTAAGTATCTAGGATTATTCTTAAAGTAACGAGCCTTTAGGAGCTAAGCGAAGTAGAAACGCCGCTAAAAGCAGCGGTAAATAACTTCTAAAAAAGGACACTTTTCTATAACTACTTAAACAATTCATGGTATCGTAAAGCGCGGTTATAAAAGTAAAGTTACTAAGTAAAATTTATATACAGTAAAACTAGTTAACGTACATGCATAGCGAGCTAATCAGTCAAGCAAGCTGATTACTCTGCCATGACCCTAAGTAGTAATAAGGTCTTTAGGTCGTATAGAGCTTAATATAATCTTTATAGATGATTAGAATTAGAAAATTCTTTTAGTAAGTAATAGTAAACTAGTATTATAAGCTAAGCGTTTATAAATATGTTATTAGCATTATAATAATAGATCTCTATATTAAAATAAGTAGCTATAGTGACTAGAGCTTAGAATATTTAAACTACTAAAGTAGCTACGTAGGTATCCTTAATAGTAGTCTGTAAATTGCCTTATATATAGATATAGCTTTATATTTCATAAGGTAGCCTTAATTATTAGGCTTAAACTTAAAGACCTATATTAATAAGAGGACTTTTTAGGTTTATAAACTTAACTCTTACTAGGTAATCCTCTCGTACGTGTCTTTTTATTTTATATTATTAATCTCCTATTACATAGACTAGAGAAAACCTTTCTTATATAGGAATAGTATCTTTATTATATCTCTATATAGATGCGACTCAGGAGGTAGCTTAGTATAGTAAAATTAGGTTTTTAATACTATAGCTAAGGCTACTACGTATACTAACTAGTATATATTAATAAAAAAGCTGCTACTCGTATAAAGTTGCTTTCTAACTCTTATTAACCCTTTAAGTAGTATATAAAACTAATAAAAGTTACTATTAATTAGTTCGTAATACTCTACTTAGTTTAAGTCTATTTATAAAATAAAATATAATATTTAGTGCTTACGCTTTCTTAAGAATATAAATATTAGAGGTAGGCTAGCTAATATGGCTAATAATAAACGTAGTAAGTTATTATTATAGACTAAGCCTTATAAGCTACTATAAACCTTAATAGTCTATATTTAACTTAGTATTAGAAGCTACTAATAATATAGTATAGGGTTATTATTCTTCTTTGCGTCGATTAGGTTCGTTCTATAATAGTAGTAGTCTGGCTACACTAGTCTAGATCTAACATAAACTTATCTTTTAATAAATCCTTTTTAGAGCTACCTTGGCTGCGTAATAAAGGTAGTTAATACTTAAGATAAATTACTCTAGCTTAAAGCCTTATAAGCAAGGATCTATTTTATTATATAGTTAATAGAAAGGATTTTCTCTAAAAGTAACGTATTTTATATAAATTACTTTACTTTTATAAGCTTGAT